TCTCTCTCTCTCTCTCTCTCTCTCTCTCTCTTTCTATCGCGAAGCTGGTATTTGTAATTCTACATATTTACGAAGCAAAACGCGGGCCAGCGGCTCTGTTTAATTCCGTTTCGCGAATAGAATAGCTTATATTTACGCAGCCGTAAAATCGAAATTTATATATCTGTCCCGACGCATCGGGACCTTTTCACCAAAAACCAGGAGAACGTTACTATCGACTACTGGAATTGTTATCCGCGTTTCTACAATCTTATTTATTGTACGATCGATATTTCGATTGAAGAACAACGTACAATTTCACAAATTGTAATAATAAACTTCATTCAAATTTCGTGATCACCGGCGAACGCGAAAACGATATTAATGATAATCGTAGCAAATTCCACTTTGCCTGTTTTTAGTAGATTAGAATAAATATACAGTGACTCTCGCTAATAATCGAACTGCTATAATTTTGTAAAAAAATAATAAAATTGAGCTTATTTTAAAAAAATTCACGAAGTCTCTACTTTCAAAGTACATCGTTCATTTTATTCTAAGTACATTTTTACGCTGTGGCAAAGATGAAGATGCTTTTCTTTCCAAAATTACCTCCCAGAACTTGCTCTATGCTTTTTCCTTTTCTCTTTCTTTTCTTTTTTTTTTTCGTCAATTTCGAATTTTGAAAAATTGAGGAGAAATGAATTCTTAAATCTTCAACGAGAAGAGTAAGAGTCTACTTTAATTTCATTTTAAAGCGTAAAGCTTCTATATTGAGCAGTGACGGTGGTAAAATTTTTTTTTTTTTTCTGAAAAGCCAAAACACCACGTTGTTTATCTCTCTTTGTGCTCTCTACGTGCAGATACTCAACGAAGTATTATTCACGTGTGCGTTCAGTTCTTCCTCGTCACTCTGTATCTAATTCAGTTAAATTCAGTTAAAATAAATAATGGAATTTTTGTGTTATTTCACGCGACACTATCGTTTACTATCTTCCTCGAGGTTTCTATCTCGAGTCTTTTCAAACTATTTCTGCGACAGAAATAGTAGGCAACGATACCTAAATATAGTCAACTGTTGAGCACGCTGCAACGCGATCTTCTCGTCAAAGTAATGACGTGCAGTTGCTTTTTGCTTGGGGCACGATTATTGATGCTGAGATATCCATGGAATTGGTCGAGTTAACAGATAATCGCCAGATCGAATGTCAGGCAATTGACGTGAAAGGGTTTCGTTACAGTTGAAAGGAGCCTGTGCGTTCAGGCTAATGCCTGGCCATAATACGTGCCACGATAAAGTTGTAATTATCATGTCCTAATCTTGCTCCGAGACATTAAACAGACTTTCACATTTTGTCGTTATCAGATCAGTAGTAATTTTTCGTACATTTGTGATATAGATCGCAGAAAGTGATCTTCATTGCCGACGTTTGATAAATAATGTTCAGAAACACGGACAGTACATGTCAATCCACGTCGTGACGCAGGATCGGTGATTAAATGATAATATCGACAATTTGCATGATTAGCAATTTCGTAAAATTGTCAATATTTATCGATAATAACTGCCCGCCGGATCATACCTCAATTATCAAATTATACGCTGTCTTTCCGCGAAAGATACAAAAATATTCAAATACCTGGAATAATAAAGCATTACGTTACGCGTAACAAAATATTAAAATTGCAGAATATGAATATTTCCCGTCCAGAAAGCAAGAAGATCGATCACTTAGAATTATAAGTGAACATACATATATATATATATTTTTTTTTTCATTTTAAAATACTAGCCACTTTTCGTTAACGAGACGGAGGAATTTTATTACTTATAAATCTATATCTATTCCAATTTTCCACGCGGCCATAAACATATACATTTCGATGAACGATGCGAGATAAACGAAATTCGCAAAATGAATATCGTGTTTCTTCGAACGACCGTTTTATCCTTTATCATTTCCCATCCCGAAATACTATATATTCCCGGTGTAGAAAAACGTTAAACGTTTTTATCGCGGTAACCAGTAATTTTCATCGGCGTCCCTTTCATTAATCAAACGTCGGCAAATTACTGTGCAAGTAATTTGCCTGCCGCGCGCTGAAACTTGTAATTTTTTTTTTTATTCGCTTTTTCAGAACCGATTGCCTGCACAATTAAAGCCTGCGCCTGCACGACGCAGTTATTCCTCCGTCTTTTGTATCCGTTTCTGCTCTATACTCTCTCGCCAATTTTTCACTCTCTCTCTCTCTCCTACCCTCCAATTTTATTCCATGCTATTAAAGGTCGACATCGGCCCGCAATATTATAAAAGATATTTATAAAAAGAGTGATTTCAATCGAAATTTATTTTTCGCTGTTTCAGTCGAAAGC